TGGTGTAACGTCCCTATTTAATTCATTTTAAATTAATTACTGAATAAAGGATGATTGGATTCAAATATCTCTGAATTAAGATAACGTCATTTCCCTTTAACCACGTGACTCATGCTCACTCATGCGTTTGAGTTTCCTCCCCTTCACGCGGGTACGTGAACACCGGGAACAGGGAGGAGAAACAACGGAGAAACAGAGAACCGGAGCTCCGCCGCAGACACCGGACGATCCGGGGATCTGTGGCCGAGCAGGGCGCTCTCTGAGCGGGGAAGAAAGTGACAGTTTGTCGGTGTGTTCTGTGGAGCGGAAGAGGGAGCCGTTGCCTGGCAACCAGCAACGGCTCCGAGGAGGAAAACAGGCCAACCGTCAGTTCATAGTTAAAATGTTTCATGTGGAACCTACTTGAGCAGGTCTCCCTTGAAAAAGAGATCAATGATCTCAATGGGATACAACCTGGATAAATAAAAGGTATGAAATGAAATGAAATGAAAAAAGGTCAGAATCTGTAAATATTAAAGGAAACCTATCATGCTATATTTAAATGATATATTGTAGGTATCTATATAAGGTATATTTATACGTTTCTGTTTTCAAAATACCAAACAGATCATGCATTTTAGCCATGCCTCATTTCGCTCTATGTGCTGTTTGCTGTCTACGGTCTGATTCTGCTGACCACGCCCCCCTGCAGGAGAGGGGAGACGTGCTCTGATCAGCTGCTGGGCTGTCAGAAGAGGGGGAGAAAAAGAGATCTCCGTCCTCCGTGTTATTATAGGCCTATAGAGTCGTTATTCATTTGTTTTAAAGCTCAATAAATAAAATAAAAAGACCTTTGACCGGCACTTTTCTAATTTTGTCCGGAAGATTTAAACTTTAACGGACATCTTGACCGGCGAAAGAAAAAATATGAAAATCCCAGAATTCTCACTTGTTTTAGTAAATCAGGGATTCAAGTACAAATTCTGAGAAGTGTTTGTTTCGAGAAAAACCTACTTTTAGTAACATCCCTTTTCCCCCTCTCGTTGCCCTAATCCTCTCCAGTGAATCCACGCTCTGTGACGTCACGTTTTTAAAATGTTGGAGACTATTTTGGTATCTGCAGATGTTTTGTATCTGAGAGGAGAACGTGTTCTCATCACGAGGTTCTCCGCGCTGAACGGTCCTTTACGTTTTGTTCTAATCATAATAAATAAACACACCATATCTAAACACTACAGGACTAAACATTATATCAATTTATACTTTTAACACTTTTTGAAGAAGGCACTCACAAGGTACGAGAAAAAAACAAAAACATTTTTATTACATTACATACTTTTTACACCATTTAACAAAATAAGACACTGACAGCGTTGGAGACATTTGGTCCTCTGCTTAGTTCCTGAGCGACGTCCATCATGCACTTGTTTCAGCATGATGGACGTTTTGAGTCAGAGTTTTTCACATAAACACGACATTTAAAATAAATATCTTGTGCAAATTAAAATATTTATTTAACCACTAAACGTACTCTCAGTTCCTGTTTACTTCTAGCTAAACGAGTAAACATTCTGCAGATATTTAACGTTAAAGTTAAATGCAGAAGATTTAAGTTATATTCACATACAATCATAAAGGCATAATGCTGCCATTGGTCTCTTAGGCCCCGGCCCCACGGGAACGAAAACGGGTTGAATCCGCATATTTCTCTTGCGTATAGCCCTTTAAGCTACACGACGCCGTAACGGAAACGTAGAAACAGACCCTGCAAACGACAACGGGTCCAAAGGTGGATAGATCTGGGAACGGAGCGCTCTGGGGGGTCCAACGGGGCCGTGTGGTCGCCTATACGGTCATTCGTTTCTGATAATGACGACGCAATAGCCCCGCCTCAAAATATAAAGCAAAATATTACATATACATTAATTGTCTAAGGAATGGATTATTAAATATTAAATTGAGAATACATGTTACAGTGGGAGTTTAAGTCCAGTTATCCAAGATCCATACATACCTATTCTCTATTAAATTATTACTAATATTAAACTCATCGCAGGTCCTTTAAATACACCCAACTTCCCGTAGGAAACAATGTTTTTTTACAGAATAACCAGAATGAAATGTAGTTATAATGCTGGAAGAAACACCAGAGCACCTGGTGTAAACCCGCTTCAAAGATTAAAGAAAGAAAAGAAAGTGGATGAAATCACGGTAAGAAGATTAGCTTTGGCTGCGAGAGTCCTTCTTCTCCTCAAGCATTTCAAGAGATGCGTCTCTCTGATCACTCAAGTCGTTGTTCTCTGCATGCACGGCGTTTAATTCGTCCGACAACCTGGTTCTGGTTCTGATTTGTTCGCAAATCACGTCGATCCACTGTTTCAGATAGATGTTTTGCGACTCGATGGACTGGATCTGTGTCTCCACGGGTTGCATTTCGCTGTGAAACTTCTTCAATCTTCTCAGTTCTCTCGCCATCGATTCAGCCTGGTTGAGCAGAGCTTTCTTTTCTTTCTGTTTTGTTTTCACGTCGGCCTTTAAGTCACTCAGGGTTTCGGGTCTGTCTCTGAAGCACTGGATTTCCTTTCTGAGTCCGTCGTGATGCAGCTCCATGGCGTCCGTTTGTGTTTTGAGCTGGTCGTGTTTGTCCTTCCACTGTTTCTCTTTCAGAACTCTTTCATGGACTTCTGCGTGTGTCTTAATCAGGACTTTGTGTTCGGCACGAAGTTCGTCCCCGAAAGCTTCCAGTTCCAAGTAGCTGTCCTTGAACTCTCTTTGTAGCTCGAGCTCTTTGATACTCTCCTTCACGTTGTCGTTCTCTCTCTTCAGGTCCTGATGTTTCGTCTTCAGACACTCCAGTTTTTCCCGACTCACCGTGTCTTCCTTTGCTTTCAGGGCTTTTTCTTTCTGATCGTTGGTCATGCCGCTGCATTCTGGATCTGCAACGAGTAGCTCTTTCTGCAGAGCTTCCTTCTCGCGGGTCTTGTCTTGTTGCAACACTTTTAGTGTGGTGTATTTTTCCTTCATGTATGTTTTACTCTTCAGCTCTACGGTTTTACTGTCAATTTCACTCTGCAAATCCTTATTCCCTTTGATAAGATCTTCAGTGTCGACTTTTGCGATCTCGTGAGCTTCGTCTGAAATCCCGAGAAGCCGAAGCCTCTCTTTCAGACGATCTAATTCCTCCTTCTTGGCCTCGTTATCTTGCAGGATCCCTTTTTTCAGCTGTATATTATGTTTGAGCAGATAGTCTTTGGGATCTTTGATGACCCTTTTCATCTGAACAAGTTCTTTACGGAGATCATCTTGCTTTCTTTCCAAAGCTTTATAAACCGCGACTCCTTCGTCATAGATATCCTGCTTTTCCTGATATTGTGGTTGTATATTTTGACGCTCTATCTCCAAAGCCGACGTGTTTGTTCTCAGTTCTTTGATCAGGTCGGTTATCTTGTCCTTCTTCTCTAGCATTTCAAGAGATGCGTCTCTCTGATCACTCAAGTCCTTGTACTGTGCCTTCACGGCGTTTAATTCGTCCGACAACCTGGTGTCTTTTTCCCTTATGATTCGATCGCAAACCACGCCGATCCACTTTGTCAGATAGATGTTTTGCGACCGGATGGACTGGATCTGTTTCTTCACGGGTTGCATTTCGCTGTGAACCCTCTTCAATCTTCTCAGTTCTCTCTGCATCGATTCACCCAGGTTGAGCAGAGCTTTCTGTTCTTTCTGTTTTGTTTTCACGTCGGCCTTTAAGTCACTCAGGGTTTCGGGTCTGTCTCTGAACGACTGGATTTCCTTTCTGAGTCCGTCGTGATGCAGCTCTATGGCGTCCGTTTGTGTTTTCAGCTGGTCGTGTTTGTCCTTCCACTGTTCCTCTTTCAGAACTCTTTCATGGACTTCTGCGTGTGTCTTAATCAGGACTTTGTGTTCGGCACGAAGTTCGTTCTCGAAAGCTTTCAGTTCCAAGTATCTGTCCTTGAACTCTTTGATGCTCTCCTTCACCTTGTCGTTCTCTCTCTTCAGGTCCTGATGTTTCGTCTTCAGACACTCCAGTTTTTCCCGCAGAGCCTCATTTTCACAGCTCTTGACTTCGACCGCCTGTTTTATCGCGTTGCACAGGGCTTCTTCCTTCGCCAGCTCTGTCTCAATCTCCTGCATCTCGTGTTGCAAAGCTTCGTTTTCCCGACTCACCGTGTCTTCCTTTGCTTTCAGGGCTTCCTTCTCGCGGGTCTTGTCTTGTTGCAACACTTTTAGTGCGGTGTATTTTTCCTCCATGCATGTTTTACTCTTCAGCTCTACGGTTTTACTGTCATTTTCACTCTGCAAATCCTTATTCCCTTTGATAAGATCTTCAGTGTCGACTTTTGCGATCTCGTGAGCTTCGTCTGGAATCCCGAGAAGCCGAAGCCTCTCTTTCAGACGATCTAATTCCTCCTTCTTGGCCTCGTTATCTTGCAGGATCCCTTTTTTCAGCTTTATATTATGTTTGAGCAGATAGTCTTTGTGATGATAGTTATTGTCTTTGAGCTCCGTTCCTGATGATGATTCACCAGCAGCAACTTCCTCTGCCCTCAGAGACTCTGCCTCCAAATCTCCCATCTTGTCCCCATTGAGCTTTAGGAATTTCTTTCTTGCACTTTCCAATTGCTCGATAGGACACACTAAGATTTTGTCCACTTCAGAAATGGGGTTTGATATTTCTTGATGTTTACCGCCTGAACTGGACTCTCTCCTCAATCGTCTACTACACCTTAGCCCCATTCTAGAGTAATGAAGTGATTGAAATACAGCCGTGGAAATAATGTTTACAGTATGATGTGAGTCAACAAAAGGGGACTGTTCACCTGTCAACAACAAAAAGTGTACTGGTGGATATTACAACAGTGGAAGTAATGTTTCCAGTAGGCTACTAATATACTTGCTCTCGCACTACACACACCAAAGCCCTGTGACGTCACAGGATTCCAAACGGCTCAAACACCAAAGCCCCTTCCAAATGGATTTGACGTCACAGGATTCCAAAACGCTGCACGTGACAAAACGCCCTGCCGGTGACGTCATTTAACCCGGACAGACAGGAGTTGGAGATTCGAAGCTGCATAAAAAAACAAAGCGGATATTTTCACACTTTTCTTGCGACTAAAGCTGTTTTCTGATGCACTCAGAGGACACGTTGAACACTTGGAATAACAACTCTTGTAAGTTTTAATCATATTTCTGTCTTAACGTTAATGTAACTGGCTTTTAGTGGAGAAATATTAGCTGCTAACAGCTAGCCACAGAGACGTTTGTTATGTTTTACTGATGGTGACCATGCTGTCAGGGAATACTATACTGACAGATCAGAGTAGAAGTACTCAGGTCTGCACTTCAGTACAAGTAGAAGTACTCAGGTCTGCACTTCAGTAAAGTAGAAGTACTCAGGTCTGCACTTCAGTACAAGTAGAGGAGTAGAAGTACAAAGTAGCATAACATGGAATACTCAAGTAAAGTACAAGTACCTGTAAATGTACTTAGTTAGACTGTTTTATTACTCATATTTGGAGAGAAAATACTTAAATACTGCCGTCTTATTGACACAGTGTTGATGGTGTGTTTTTTTATAAGCTGATTTGTTGGCAGAAGAATCTGTTAACTCTCAAAAGATCTGTGCTATCTTTTAATAGCTAAGGGTTACTTTGTTGACTCCAATCTGGGACTTGTTGTCATCACAGCAGCGTGTCAACAAGGCATTGCACACAATGAAAAAGAGTAGAAAAACAAACATAACATTTAGATATCTCAATTAGAAAATGAAACGAAGCTATAAAGTAAAATATAAATACGTGTTGACAGTGAAGGATTCAAGATGCAAGGCTTTTATTGTCATGTGTACATAGCTACAGTGTAGACATATCAATGAACATCTGAGGAAGCAGCTGGAGAGAACCGGGATGGTCCGAGAGATCGGATCCCAGGCGGTGTGGTCGCTGTCCTCCTGTAAACCTGGTGAGAGTGTGTGTGTATACAACATGTAGATATGTAGTGTCTCTACTTTAAAGAGTCCTCTCCTGCTGATGTTCAGGTGTATATCAGTATGTAGTGTCTCTACTTTAAAGAGTCCTCTCCTGCTGATGTTCAGGTGTATATCAGTATGTAGTGTCTCTACTTTAAAGAGTGCTCTCCTGCTGATGTTCAGGTGTATATCAGTATGTAGTGTCTCTACTTTAAAGAGTCCTCTCCTGCTGATGTTCAGGTGTATATCAGTATGTAGTGTCTCTACTTTAAAGAGTGCTCTCCTGCTGATGTTCAGGTGTATATCAGTATGTAGTGTCTCTACTTTAAAGAGTCCTCTCCTGCTGATGTTCAGGTGTATATCAGTATGTAGTGTCTCTACTTTAAAGAGTCCTCTCCTGCTGATGTTCAGGTGTATATCAGTATGTAGTGTCTCTACTTTAAAGAGTCCTCTCCTGCTGATGTTCAGGTGTATATCAGTATGTAGTGTCTCTACTTTAAAGAGTCCTCTCCTGCTGATGTTCAGGTGTATATCAGTATGTAGTGTCTCTACTTTAAAGAGTCCTCTCCTGCTGATGTTCAGGTGTATATCAGTATGTAGTGTCTCTACTTTAAAGAGTCCTCTCCTGCTGATGTTCAGGTGTATATCAGTATGAGATGTGGTTCTCTGAGTGTTTGTTTACAGATGTTGTTCTCTGAGTGTTTGTTTACAGATGTTGTTTGTTTACTCTCCTCTGCAGGGTTCGGAGTGGATCAGCTGAGAGACGATAACCTGGAGACGTACTGGCAGTCTGACGGCTCTCAGCCTCACCTCGTCAACATCCAGTTCAGGTACTCTTTAAATTGTACTCAAATAAATACAAAAATAATAAATTACAGAGCCCGGGGATAAAAGACAAACAATTTACATTTCCTAGAATATTTCTAACTTCATAAATATCTAAAGTATCTTCTGAGACTGGAGTCACACATTTATGAAAAGACTAGAAATAAGCTCCAAAATGGTGTTTCATAACTCCAGACACACTTTATTGATTATTCTTACATTTGTGACTTTAATCCCAGAATGTATTTATTTTTATCCGAAAAGATATCAGATTCTTCCTACAGTATAAATCCCCCCAATTGAGTAGGAGTGTCCTTCTCTGAATATTACCCCCCTCATGTCTCTAATCCTCCGTGTTGTGACCCGCTCAGGAGGAGGACCACGGTGAAGCTGCTGTGCATCTACGCAGATTACAAATCAGACGAGAGCTACACGCCCAGCAAGATCTCAGTCAGAGTCGGGAACAACTTCCACAACCTGCAAGAGATCAGGGTAACAACTCCTCATAACAACATTAGTATCAAATCATCAGTGATTATTTCAATGATTCATATAGTCCCCTCCTCTCTGCAGCAGTTGGAGATGGTGGAGCCCAGCGGCTGGATCCACATCACTCTGATGAACCAGGCGAGGAACTCGTATTATTAATAATAATACTATATGTCAAAATACTCAGTTTATTCAATATTTCTACCCACCGACCGACTGACCTTCTTTCCTACCTACCAACCAACCAACTAACCGACCAACCGACCAACTGACCAACTAACCAACCAACTGACCAACTAAGTTACCAACCAACCAACCTACCAACCGACCAACTGACCAACTGACCGACCAACTGACCAACTAACCGACCAACCGACCAACTGACCAACTAACCAACTAACCGACCAACTGACCAACTAACCAACCAACCTACCAACTGACCGACCAACCGACCAACTAACCGACCAACCAACCAACTAACCGACCAACTAAGTTACCAACCAACCAACCTACCAACCGACCAACTGACCAACTAAGTTACCAACCAACCAACCTACTGACCGACCAACTAACCAACCAACCGACCAACCAACCGACCAACCAACCAACCAACCTACCAACCAACCAACTGACCAACCAACTAACCTACCAACCATCCTACTTACCTTCCTACCTTCCTTCTTTCTTTCCTACCTACCAACCTCCCTCCCCACCTACCAACCTATAGCCAGATGACAGGACGTTGTAACGAACATATTTGTTCTTGTTTTGTCTCAGCGTACGAACGATCCGATCAGCACCTTCATGATCCAGATCGCGGTGCTGGCGAACCATCAGAACGGCCGAGACACACACATGAGACAGATCAAAGTCTACACACCTGTCGAGGAGAGCTCCATCGGGAAATTCCCACGATGCACCACGGTCGACTTCATGATGTACCGCACCATCCGATGACTGAAACACCTGCAGACAAAAGCCTGAAATCTGGAGGTGTTCTTGCACTGTGTCATTAAAGGCTGCTTAAATGTGGATTTGTTTTAAATGCAGAAGGGTATCTCGCAGATTTTCAGAAGAAATGAAATCATTTTACATAATTTTCTGAAGGTTTTGCCACCTTTTCTCCCAGAAAAGACTCAATCTGTCTGCATCAGTTACGCTTTGAGTCCTTTTCATGAAGAAATGTCAGAGAAATGCCGTTTCAGACTCAAAATATTGACTTTTTTCAAATGTTCTCGGTTTTATATTACGTTAAAGTGACATAAGACATTCACACTGCCTGTAGACTTAGTTCATCGTTAAGTCAAGATGTTTTTATTTGACTCAAAACCCAAACGCCCGTGCCTACAAACCGTCTCCTGATTTGTTTTTGTTTGTGAACGTTGAATCAAATGTGTTTTATAGCAACATGACTGCGACAATGTGAATGTGTATAATTAATAAAGAGGGAAAGTTACAAGAATATTAAGAAATCTGTCAAATTCTTACCAAAGGTGGTATGTTAGTATAATGAATTGCTGTAAACTTAAATGATCAAAAAAATCAACTAATTGTTTGAAATAATACATTTAATTTTGACTTAAAGACTCTTTATATAAATGTTGAAAAATGTATTAAAAACTATTTTAAAATATCATTAAAATATAAAATATATTATTTAAAAAGAATATTTTACAAACTGCACATTTTTTCTACAAAATCTTTATTTTTAAATCAACTAAAGTTGTCAAATAAATTAAGTGTAGTAGAGGTATAAGGTAGCATAGAAAGACAATGTTCAATGAAAGTACAAGTACCTGAAATGTGTACTTTAGTACTTTCACTGCAATGAGAGAGCAATGCAGTTCTGAAGTTTCACCACTAGAGGGAGTCAGACACACAGACGCAACGTCCTGCATTCAAATGGTTACTTGAGTAAAAGTAGGTTTTATACAAAATGAAAAAGGAAGCTACTTAAAGTGTTAAGCATTAAAGTACCCAATTCAGAAATATCTAAAGAAATTATTAGTTTAAGTCTTAAAATGATTCAAAATAAATACAAAAATGTAGTTAAATTATTTAACAGAAAATAACCCAATGCAGAAGATTCCTTCCTTCCTTCCCTCTTTCCTACCTTCCTACCTACCTACCTACCTTCCTTCCTTCCTTCCCTCTTTCCTACCTACCTCCCTACCTACCTACCTTCCTTCCTTCTTTCCAACCTTCCCTCTTTCCTACCTACCTACCTACCTACCTACCTTCCTTCCTTCCCTCTTTCCTACCTTCCTACCTACCTTCCTTCCTTCCTTCCCTCTTTCCTACCTACCTCCCTACCTACCTACCTTCCTTCCTTCTTTCCAACCTTCCCTCTTCCTACCTACCTACCTACCTACCTACCTTCCTTCCTTCCTTCCTTCCCTCTTTCCTACCTACCTACCTACCTTCCTTCCCTCTTTCCTACCTACCTACCTCCCTACCTACCTTCCTTCCTTCCTTCCTTCTTTCTTTCCAACCTTCCCTCTTTCCTACCTACCTACCTACCTACTTTCCTTCCTTCCCTCTTTCCTACCTACCTCCCTCCCTACCTACCTTCCTTCCTTCCTTCTTTCTTTCCAACCTTCCCTCTTTCCTACCTACCTACCTACCTACCTACCTACCTACCTACCTACCTACCTACCTACCTACCTCCCTCCCTCCCTACCTACCTACTTACCTTCCTACCTTCCTTTCTTCCTACCCACTAACCAACCAACCTTCCTACCCAGAAAATAACCCAATGCAGAAAATACATTAAAAAAATCTCAAAATAAATAGGACACATTGTTCAATGCTTAACGCTCTTATTTAATATCTTTAATGGATGAAAATTGAAAACAAACAAGTAATCTTTTTTAATAAAATCATCTTTATTGATCCACATTCATCCCGCCTTCCTCTCTCCACAATATGTTCTGTTCTTCTTATAAAAAGCTGGATATTTACATCTTTTATTTACAGTAATGTACAGGATGAGCCTCACTTCTCAAAGAAAATCACCACCTGTTGCCGGGGGGAACAACCACCCGCTCTGCTCTCATTGGCTTAGAGGTGTTGCCTGGCAGATTTAATGTCTGGTTATCAGGGGAGAAATATTTTATTTAATATTTAAATATGTTATAAACCGAGGAAAAGAGAGTGTGAAATAAGCCTTTAAAGATTTGGGTTTAAAAATATATATATTGTATTTAATACTGTGAAATATAACCTTAAAGAAATGCAAAAAAATATACGTTTTTTCCTGCATTTTTAATGGTTGTAGAGTTTCATTTTTAACTGATTATAAATATTTGTTCAGAGTTTTTGGGGGGGATTTCGAGCCACTTTTTGACCAAATACGTCGCAAAAAATTGCTTATTTTTTGGGATCCTTTGAGAATTAAGTGGGAAAAATACCCTTAAACAAATCCATCTAAAATCCTATGGGAGCACAGAAAGGACAACGTAATATATATTCAATAAAAACCCAACTTTCTTTTGTTTTCATTGCTTAATTGGATCACCCAACATTTCAAAATGCATAAATTCAGTGTTTTTTTCTCCAAATAAAGTAAATAATGAAACACATTTGGGATTAAACGGCTTCTCCTTGCCTCCCTTTCACCTCAAAGTGAATCAAATACATTTCATAATGAAGTGAACAGGTAAATCACCTTTCTCTGCTTCCACAGGTTTTCTCTAGAAGTATAATTATGGTCAAATATTGTCAAATAAAGCAGTTTTTTAAGATCTGTTTGAACCAATAACGTTCAAATATAGTTCATTTTCTGCATTTCCCTTTTGTTTTTGGCAGGAAACTACAGCGTGAATCTGTGAGGTTTCTCAGCTCCGAGTGTTTCTAAATAATCTCTTTTACTCTGAACTCAGGCGTCTGTCGAGCTTCAATCAAAGGTTTGTTTTGCAGATGTAAGGCTCTGATTATCAATTTAACAAACATATATTACAGGACTCAGGGAACTTCGAGGCAACGGAGACGAGATGAAACTAACGCTGTGTTTCCACTCGGCTTTTCATGTGCATTTTCTTGACATCATGCCTGACAAAAAGGAGAGGAAACGCCTTCAAAAAGAACCTGAAATATGGCAATAAAGTTATTTTAAGCTCGGCTGAAGTGGAGAAGTTGTTTTACGCATTAAAGCAAAATGTGACGGTGCTTCGGAAACAGAAAATCTGATGTAACGTTTCCATCACAGTTTAGAGCGTTTCACTTCAACTCCAGCTCCCCTTGAAGCTGGACTTGCACCCTCTGTTCCCGCATTATTCAAATGGACGTAAACGAGCAATCAGATGTTCCTTGATCTTCAGCGGTTCCCCGTCTGCCTCTGGAAGTTGCTCCGTCTCCAGGATTTGGTTCATGTTGTCTTTCATCTCCGTCGTTGAGTTTGTCGTTGGTTCAGCAGCAAAAACGATAAAAGTCAACGTTCCATCTGTCCGTCGTTTACATTCAGTAAAAATCCATTTCCGTAAAGCGTCAAAAACATTCATCTGTCGCCTCGTTTAGGATACATCCACGGCGTTGAAATCCCTTCCAGGTGACATTCATACCTGTCCGTGGGACTTTTGGTTCACAACAAATATTCCTCCTCACTCCTCTTCCGTCGTGCGGTCGTCCAGATCGAAGTCGAGGACGAGCAGCTTGGTTTCTTCGGTGCCGTTCCGGCTGCCGGCGGCACAAACCAGACGAGTGTCGGACGCTCGGATCCTCCACACCACGCCTCCTGTGGGGGAATAAAAAGAGTTTAGACCCAAAGAGAGGCGGAAATAACACTTGTCTTAAGAAATTACACAAATATATTTTTTAAAGTGGTTGGAAAATGCCCTAAAACTACCAAATGACTACGGGAGATTCTCCTGCACATAAATACTTAAAGTATATTAATACTGCATGTTTTTTGACCTGCTCCTCGGCTCTGCAGCGTCACCACGTCTCGGACCCAGGAGCCCGTCTTCAGGTCCCAAAGTTTCACCGTACCGTCGTCAGAACTGGACAGAACCAGTCCTCTGCAGAACTGGAGACACGTCACCCGCCGACTGGTGCTTATTGGGACCTGAACGCAACACCAGAACGTTTAGATCACAGAAGTTAGGAAATGATACTTTAATATAGGGTTAAACTCCGTGTGTCTCTACTTTAAAGAGTCCTCTCCTGCTGATGTTCAGGTGTATATCAGTATGTAGTGTCTCTACTTTAAAGAGTCCTCTCCTGCTGATGTTCAGGTGTATATCAGTATGTAGTGTCTCTACTTTAAAGAGTCCTCTCCTGCTGATGTTCAGGTGTATATCAGTATGTAGTGTCCTCTACTTTAAAGAGTCCTCTCCTGCTGATGTTCAGGTGTATATCAGTATGTAGTGTCTCTACTTTAAAAGAGTCCTCTCCTGCTGATGTTCAGGTGTATATCAGTATGTAGTGTCTCTACTTTAAAGAGTCCTCTCCTGCTGATGTTCAGGTGTATATCAGTATGTAGTGTCTCTACTTTAAAGAGTCCTCTCCTGCTGATGTTCAGGTGTATATCAGTATGTAGTGTCTCTACTTTAAAGAGTTCTCTCCTGCTGATGTTCAGGTGTATATCAGTATGTAGTGTCTCTACTTTAAAGAGTCCTCTCCTGCTGATGTTCAGGTGTATATCAGTATGTAGTGTCTCTACTTTAAAGAGTCCTCTCCTGCTGATGTTCAGGTGTATATCAGTATGTAGTGTCTCTACTTTAAAGAGTCCTCTCCTGCTGATGTTCAGGTGTGGTGTATATCAGTAGGTTAGTGTCTCTACTTAAAGAGTCCTCTCCTGCTGATGTTCAGGTGTATAATCAGTATGTAGTGTCTCTACTTTAAAGAGTCCTCTCCTGCTGATGTTCAGGTGTATATCAGTATGTAGTGTCTCTACTTTAAAGAGTCCTCTCCTGCTGATGTTCAGGTGTCAGGTGTATCAGTATGTAGTGTCTCTACTTTAAAGAGTCCTCTCCTGCTGATGTTCAGGTGTATATCAGTATGTAGTGTCTCTACTTTAAAGAGTCCTCTCCTGCTGATGTTCAGGTGTATATCAGTATGTAGTGGTCTCTACTTTAAAGAGTCCTCATCCTGCTGATGTTCAGGTGTATATCAGTATGTAGTGTCCTCTACTTTAAAGAGCCTCCTCCCTGCTGATGTTCAGGTGTATATCAGTATGTAGTGTCTTCTACTTTAAAGAGTCCTCTCCTGCTGATGTTCAGGTGTATATCAGTATGTAGTGTCTCTACTTTAAAGAGTCCTCTTCCTGCTGATGTTCAGGTGTATATCAGTATGTAGTGTCTCTACTTTAAAGAGTCCTCTCCTGCTGATGTTCAGGTGTATATCAGTATGTAGTGTCTCTACTTTAAAGAGTCCTCTCCTGCTGATGTTCAGGTGTATATCAGTATGTAGTGTCTCTACTTTAAAGAGTCCTCTCCTGCTGATGTTCAGGTGTATATCAGTATGTAGTGTCTCTACTTTAAAGAGTCCTCTCCTGCTGATGTTCAGGTGTATATCAGTATGTAGTGTCTCTACTTTAAAGAGTCCTCTCCTGCTGATGTTCAGGTGTATATCAGTATGTAGTGTCTCTACTTTAAAGAGTCCTCTCCTGCTGATGTTCAGGTGTATATCAGTATGTAGTGTCTCTACTTTAAAGAGTCCTCTCCTGCTGATGTTCAGGTGTATATCAGTATGTAGTGTCTCTACTTTAAAGAGTCCTCTCCTGCTGATGTTCAGGTGTATATCAGTATGTAGTGTCTCTACTTTAAAGAGTCCTCTCCTGCTGATGTTCAGGTGTATATCAGTATGTAGTGTCTCTACTTTAAAGAGTCCTCTCCTGCTGATGTTCAGGTGTAATATCAGTATGTAAGTGTCTCTACTTTAAAGAGTCCTCTCCTGCTGATGTTCAGGTGTATATCAGTATGTAGTGTCTCTACTTTAAAGAGTCCTCTCCTGCTGATGTTCAGGTGTATATCAGTATGTAGTGTCCTCTACTTTAAAGAGTCCTCTCCTGCTGATGTTCAGGTGTATATCAGTATGTAGTGTCTCTACTTTAAAGAGTCCTCTCCTGCTGATGTTCAGGTGTATATCAGTATGTAGTGTCTCTACTTTAAAGAGTTCTCTCCTGCTGATGTTCAGGTGGTATATCAGTATGTAGTGTCTCTACTTTAAAGAGTCCTCTCCTGCTGATGTTCAGGTGTATATCAGTATGTAGTGTCTCTACTTTAAAGAGTCCTCTCCTGCTGATGTTCAGGTGTATATCAGTATGTAGTGTCTCTACTTTAAAGAGTCCTCTCCTGCTGATGTTCAGGTGTATATCAGTATGTAGTGTCTCTACTTTAAAGAGTCCTCTCCTGCTGATGTTCAGGTGTATATCAGTATGTAGTGTCTCTACTTTAAAGAGTCCTCTCCTGCTGATGTTCAGGTGTATATCAGTATGTAGTGTCTCTACTTTAAAGAGTCCTCTCCTGCTGATGTTCAGGTGTCAGGTGTATATCAGTATGTAGTGTCTCTACTTTAAAGAGTCCTCTCCTGCTGATGTTCAGGTGTATATCAGTATGTAGTGTCTCTACTTTAAAGAGTCCTCACCTGCTGATGTTCAGGTGTATATCAGTATGTAGTGTCTCTACTTTAAAGAGTCCTCTCCCGCTGATGTTCAGGTGTATATCAGTATGTAGTGTCTCTACTTTAAAGAGTCCTCTCCCGCTGATGTTCAGGTGTATATCAGTATGTAGTGTCTCTACTTTAAAGAGTCCTCTCCTGCTGATGTTCAGGTGTATATCAGTATGTAGTGTCTCTACTTTAAAGAGTCCTCTCCTGCTGATGTTCAGGTGTATATCAGTATGTAGTGTCTCTACTTTAAAGAGTCCTCTCCTGCTGATGTTCAGGTGTATATCAGTATGTAGTGTCTCTACTTTAAAGAGTCCTCTCCTGCTGATGTTCAGGTGTATATCAGTATGTAGTGTCTCTACTTTAAAGAGTCCTCTCCTGCTGATGTTCAGGTGTATATCAGTATGTAGTGTCTCTACTTTAAAGAGTCCTCTCCTGCTGATGTTCAGGTGTATATCAGTATGTAGTGTCTCTACTTTAAAGAGTCCTCTCCTGCTGATGTTCAGGTGTATATCAGTATGTAGTGTCTCTACTTTAAAGAGTCCTCTCCTGCTGATGTTCAGGTGTATATCAGTATGTAGTGTCTCTACTTTAAAGAGTCCTCTCCTGCTGATGTTCAGGTGTATATCAGTATGTAGTGTCTCTACTTTAAAGAGTCCTCTCCTGCTGATGTTCAGGTGTATATCAGTATGTAGTGTCTCTACTTTAAAGAGTTCTCTCCTGCTGATGTTCAGGTGTATATCAGTATGTAGTGTCTCTACTTTAAAGAGTCCTCTCCTGCTGATGTTCAGGTGTATATCAGTATGTAGTTTCTCTACTTTAAAGAGTCCTCTCCTGCTGATGTTCAGGTGTATATCAGTATGTAGTGTCTCTACTTTAAAGAGTCCTCTCCTGCTGATGTTCAGGTGTATATCAGTATGTAGTGTCTCTACTTTAAAGAGTCCTCTCCTGCTGATGTTCAGGTGTATATCAGTATGTAGTGTCTCTACTTTAAAGAGTCCTCTCCTGCTGATGTTCAGGTGTATATCAGTATGTAGTGTCTCTACTTTAAAGAGTCCTCTCCTGCTGATGTTCAGGTGTATATCAGTATGTAGTGTCTCTACTTTAAAGAGTCCTCTCCTGCTGATGTTCAGGTGTCAGGTGTATATCAGTATGTAGTGTCTCTACTTTAAAGAGTCCTCTCCTGCTGATGTTCAGGTGTATATCAGTATGTAGTGTCTCTACTTTAAAGAGTCCTCACCTGCTGATGTTCAGGTGTATATCAGTATGTAGTGTCTCTACTTTAAAGAGTCCTCTCCCCGCTGATGTTCAGGTGTATATCAGTATGTAGTGTCTCTACTTTAAAGAGTCCTCTCCTGCTGATGTTCAGGTGTATATCAGTATGTAGTGTCTCTACTTTAAAGAGTCCTCTCCTGCTGATGTTCAGGTGTATATCAGTATGTAGTGTCTCTACTTTAAAGAGTCCTCTCCTGCTGATGTTCAGGTGTATATCAGTATGTAGTGTCTCTACTTTAAAGAGTCCTCTCCTGCTGATGTTCAGGTGTATATCAGTATGTAGTGTCTCTACTTTAAAGAGTTCTCTCCTGCTGATGTTCAGGTGTATATCAGTATGTAGTGTCTCTACTTTAAAGAGTCCTCTCCTGCTGATGTTCAGGTGTATATCAGTATGTAGTGTCTCTACTTTAAAGAGTCCTCTCCTGCTGATGTTCAGGTGTATATCAGTATGTAGTGTCTCTACTTTAAAGAGTCCTCTCCTGCTGATGTTCAGGTGTATATCAGTATGTAGTGTCTCTACTTTAAAGAGTCCTCTCCTGCTGATGTTCAGGTGTATATCAGTATGTAGTGTCTCTACTTTAAAGAGTTCTCTCCTGCTGATGTTCAGGTGTATATCAGTATGTAGTGTCTCTACTTTAAAGAGTCCTCTCCTGCTGATGTTCAGGTGTATATCAGTATGTAGTGTCTCTACTTTAAAGAGTCCTCTCCTGCTGATGTTCAGGTGTATATCAGTATGTAGTGTCTCTACTTTAAAGAGTCCTCTCCTGCTGATGTTCAGGTGTCAGGTGTATATCAGTATGTAGTGTCTCTACTTTAAAGAGTCCTCTCCCGCTGATGTTCAGGTGTATATCAGTATGTAGTGTCTCTACTTTAAAGAGTCCTCTCCTGCTGATGTTCAGGTGTATATCAGTATGTAGTGTCTCTACTTTAAAGAGTCCTCTCCTGCTGATGTTCAGGTGTATATCAGTATGTAGTGTCTCTACTTTAAAGAGTCCTCTCCTGCTGATGTTCAGGTGTATATCAGTATGTAGTGTCTCTACTTTAAAGAGTCCTCTCCTGCTGATGTTCAGGTGTATATCAGTATGTAGTGTCTCTACTTTAAAGAGTTCTCTCCTGCTGATGTTCAGGTGTATATCAGTATGTAGTGTCTCTACTTTAAAGAGTCCTCTCCTGCTGATGTTCAGGTGTATATCAGTATGTAGTGTCTCTACTTTAAAGAGTCCTCTCCTGCTGATGTTCAGGTGTATATCAGTATGTAGTGTCTCTACTTTAAAGAGTCCTCTCCTGCTGATGTTCAGGTGTCAGGTGTATATCAGTATGTCGTGTCTCCTCTTTAAAGAGTCCTCACCTTGCAGGGTGTGCAGACACTTTCCGCTCTGGATGTCCCACACTCGGACCGTGGAGTCGGCGTTCCCAGAAACCAGGATGTTTTCCCGGAGCTCCATCCCACTGGTGAGGGACTGGTGACCAGTGAGGGTGTGCACACAGCCACCTGTAACCATGGAGACGCCGTTATTAATACACTTTAAATATTATGAATACACTTTAAATAATACACTTTAATCATAACAAATACACTTTGATATATTATTAATACACTTGAATTATTATTAAAACACTTAATAATTTAACTTAATAATGATGTATATACTTTAATTATATTATAATAAATACACTTTAATTATAATTATTACATTTTGATTAATTATAATAAATAAACTAATAAATACACTTTAAATATAATAAATACACTTATATTAATTATAATGATAAATACGATATAATTATAATAAATACAGTTAAATAATAAAAAATACACGTAAATAAATACAGGTAAATTATTGTATTTTCTGTTACGCAAACATTTCCCAAATTGGGATCAATAAAGTACTTCTTATCTTACCGGTCTCTGCGTCCCAGACTCTGATGGAGGTGTCCAACGAGCCGCTGACCACGAACGCACCGTCAAACTGCACAGAGGAGAGTAAATACAATCATCAACACACACACACACACACACACACACACACACACACACACACACACACACACACACACACACACACACACACACACACACACCACACACACACACACACACACACACACACACACACACACACACACACACACACACACACACACACACACACACACACACACACACACACACACACACACACACACACACACACACACACACACACACACACACACACACACACACACACACACACACACACACACACACACACACACACACACACACACACACACACACACATCACACACACACACCCACACACACACACACACACACCACACACACACACACACACACACACACACACACACACACGATCATTCAATAACAACTGTAAACACTTTTTTATTAAATTAAGGGTACTTAGCAAAATGTGTGTGTGTGGATGAATGTATAAGTGAGGATGTGTGTATGTACATAAATAAAGTATATAAATGTGTGTGTGTGTGTATGACTGTTGGAGGGCCTTAAAGGGTGTGTATTTGTTTGAGAGTGAGTGTTTGTCCCTGCAGTGTGTGTATGTGTGTATGTGTATGTGTATGTGTGTGTGTGTGTGTGTGTGTGTGTATGTGTGTGTGTATGTGTGTATGTGTGTATGTGTATGTGTGTGTTGGTGTGTGTGTGTGTGTGTGTATGTGTGTGTGTATGTGTATGTGTATGTGTGTGTGTGTGTGTGTGTGTGTGTGTGTATGTGTGTGTGTATGTGTATGTGTATGTGTGTGTGTGTGTGTGTGTGTGTGTGTGTGTGTACCTGCAGTGAGTACACTCTGTTGGTGTGTCCCTGCAGTGTGTGTAGGCAGGCCTCCGTCTCAGCGTCCCAGACCTTCACCATGTAGTCGTACCCCCCCGACACCACGCGCCGCCCGTCATACTGCACGCAGCGCACCGCCGCCACGTGGCCCGACAACACACACACACACCTGCCCGTCGACACACACCACACACGCAGCGTCGTGTCCCGCGAGCCCGACACCACCCTGAGGGAGAGGAGGGGGGGTTAACATACTCATAATGATACAGTGGAGAAAACTGTGTGTGTGTGTGAGTGTCTTTAGAGTGTCTTCAAAGAGTGTGTATATTTGAGTGTGTGTGTGTGTGTGTGTGTGTGTGTGTGTGTGTGTGTGTGTGTGTGTGTGACTGTTAGTGTGCTAGGGTGTGTGTGTGAGACTGTATGTTAGTTTGTTCATGTTATGCTGACCTAGTTTCATAACTGTGTGTGTGTGTGTGGACACTAATAACACACTCATTATATAGTCCATAATAATGTAATGCAGGTTACCATGGAGATGAGAATCAGGCACAACAGCGTGTGTGTGTGTCTGTGTGCGTGCGTGTGTGTGTGTGTGTGTGTGTTACCTGTCTCCATGGAGATGCATGCAGCGCACGGTGGACGTGTGTCCGTACAGTGTGTGAACACACTCGCCACTCTCTGCGTCCCAAACACGCAGCGTCCTATCAGTGGAGCCGCTGATCACCGTGGCAACAGACATCTGACTGCACCACACCCCCCCAGTGTGACCTGACAACGTGCGGAGACACTGAGGAAGAGGAAGAACAGGAAGAGGAGGAGGAAGAGGGAGATAATTATTTAACTTTTTTAAAGACACTAAAATATAGGTAACAAAAAATAAATAATAAAAACAGAAAATAATAAAAATAAAAAGTGTGTGAGTTTCAGCTGTGTGTGTGTGTTCTGAGTGTGTGTATAAATGTGTGTGTGTGTGTGTGTCTCCCCTTGAACACAGTTTCACCTTGAGGGGTGTTGTGGTGCCGGTTGCCGTGGAAACAGAGTAAAACTTTGCCTTGGCAACTGTTGCAGAGGAAAAGAGGAAGTAATACTGCGTGTACTTCTGTGTGTACTGTGTGTACTTCTGTGATTACTACTCATTATTTATCAGTAAGACTGTCATCACCATCTTTTAAAATGAACGGACACAGCGGAAACACGTCGAGGCAGAGAGAGAGGGCGTGTTTGTTTGTTTTTCCACACACACACACACACACACACACACACACACACACACACACACACACACACACACACACACACACACACACACACACACACCACACACACACACACACACACCACACACACACACACACACACACACACACACACACACACACACACATCACACACACACACACACACACACACACACCACACAACACACCACACACACACACCACACACGACACACACACACACACACACACACACACACACACACACACACACCACACACACACACACACACACACACACACACACACACACACACACACACACACACACACACACACACACACACACACTAAAGGTGTGTCTGTTCGACCGAAACCAGAGAAATGATGACTAATACCTCAGTGTGGAAATACTGCACTGCAAGGAAAAGTACTGCGTTTAAACTGAAGTAAAGAACATTTTTTTAAATATATATTCATTTGTTTTTTTCTTTTCTGAATTCTCACATATTACTTAATCATTTTTCTAACTTTTTACATTTATCTTGTGGATTTTCCATACATTTTTTCGGGTATTTTTTCGACGTTATTCACATATTTTTGAATATTTTCCGACACATTTTTCTGCTTTTTATCGCCTTCTGAGATGAGTGTTATCTTCCACCTCCTTTATATCCTGTGGCTTTGTCGTGTGTATCTTTAAAAAGTTCAACATGTCTCTTTCAGAAGCAGTGAAGTAGAAGTACAAGGTAGCGTGAAGTGGAAATACTACAGGAAGTACAAATACGCATCACTGTTCACCTTTAACACACATACAGACAGGGTGAGTCATCGCTCTGAGAAACCGACTAATACTACTGCTTTCTGTTTTATTACATCCCATAATACTAATACTAACTTAATGGCATCCTATTGGTCACTCAAACCCTCCATTCATAAAGAGTGACACACTGCAGGGGAATGGGGTAAGAAATGTAACTGACAGATATCACTATGAAACTTCCCCACTTCTTTACTGACATTAACACAATTAACTTTTATATTACAAGTTTTCTGTACATGTTGTGTTTAAATATGCAAATGAGGTTTTATGTAATGGTGAATTTAGGATAAATATACAGACACAACATGAAATAAACGCCTAAATGTGGATAAAAGCACGTTTTTGGATTACATTTTTACGTATTTATTGTTGTTATTTATCGTCGTTCAATCTGCACAATTCTGCTTTAGCTTGTTAGTATATATTTTCTAATTTTTTTCTATTTTAATTTATGCGAGTCTGAAAGGGAGCAACTGTCACTAAATCCAATTTTAAATAATAATACATGATATTTAAATAGCGCTTTTCCCAGTGTTTAAATATGATTAAAAAGTACTGATTCTGATTAAATATGTGGAATACTTTCTCTCTAAAATATTATAAAAATAGTACAACACATACGATATTCAGTGTACTCTCATATGTGCAGAAAAGCAGCTGGTATTATTCTACTTAAAGGTCACCTATCATGCTTTTTTAGCATAGGTCTCAGATATATAAAAAGATATAAAAAACATGTCTATGAAGTGTTTTGCTCAAAATACCAAACAGATCACCCATTCTAGCCATGCCTCATATCCCTCTATTTCACTTCCTGTTTCAAAAGTGCTGATTCTGGGTATAAAGCTTTATAGACAAAATAAAAAAGGAGGGGTCTGAGCTCATGCGGGACCCGGCAGCTACTGTCTAAACTAAATACTGCCGTGATGAAACGCCATATCATGGATTATCAAGGATTATCTCTGAAACAGTATGGAGCTCAAAGGCTTTCTCTCTTGCCGGTTATACCACAAGGTGAGTTCCTTTTTATTTCCTGCTTCTTCACACACATGCTCTCCAGTACAGGTTAGCTCTGAGTGTTAGCGATGCTAATGTAAACACCAACCATATTACGTCCAAAACAGTCGGGCATTGTTTCTGATAGCAACGTTTCTGATAGGGCCGTGGGTCCACATTTCAGATATTACGTCATATCGGACACAAATCTGGATCAGCTCCGTTTTAGCCCCGTTTTTAGAGATTTGGGTACGGAGGAAAAGAGAGAGGGTTTTATTTTCTGACGCTGCGTGAGTTCCCTGACACACCGGGGACACATATTTATGTATAAAAGACATCAAAACGTGCATTTTGCATGATAATGTAGGTCCCCTTTAATAATAACTTCTCCTCTCACCTTCCCACTGACGGCCGACCAGACTCTCAGAGTGTTGTCGTCGGAGCCGCTGACGATCAGATCTCCACTGAACTGAAGACACGTGATCACATGTTCATCGTGACCCTTCAGCACCTACACACACACACACACACACGATTAATGTTTACACATCAACACGTTACTTTCCAATGCAACGTAAAATAGGGACACACACTCAAAACAGCAAGACTCACTTCAACTACTACTAAAAATAGTAATAAAACAAAAATAATAATGATATGACAAATATAACAATCCAAATAATATAATAATGTTTATTATATTATTTAATAGTGATCATGAGTGGTGTACCATGGGCTCCCGCGTGTCCCCGCTCCTCCAGTTGCTCTCGATGCGATGCTGACTGAGGAACGCTGACTTCCAGCTGGACGTCTCCGCGGGGGGCGAAGAAGACTTCCTGCGCCGAGACGAGTACTCCGACACACCTGAGGACAGGTGAGGAGAACAGAGTTCATCAGTCTGCATGCACCACTTTAAAGCAGACGTGTGTCTCTTGGCGTGAAGACGTGGTTTAATTATTTACCGAATGATTTAAAGGGCTGTGAGAACATTGTTCAAGAAAGCGTAATGAGACAGTTTGAAGTCGACTTGATTCTGGTTTCATGTTTCAGTATTTGTAAGAAACTGTGACTCAAAGAATATTAAGTTAAAATATATCATCATAATAACTCCAAAGTACTTGCTCTCCAACTTTGCCCATTTTCGTATTTTGTACATATTTCTTTTACTTTTGCCGTTTTACTTTTAACATGGTTCGCAACATGCTAGCCGACCGCACCTACTCTGCCATACAATATAGCAGAGAGGAACTTTTCCAATTGCGAAACTTCGTGGACAATATTAACCCTCCGACAGACAATGGAGATTCACCATGGCTACCTGTTGCTGTTCTACCTGAGAGACGCAAGAAGAAGACAAAGCGAGGATGCCGGGCCGGGTTGCTGGTCAGATTGAGAAAACGTGAGAATCGGCCCCCTCTTCCGAGTATTCTTCTGGCTAATGTTCAATCCATTGAAAATAAGCTAGATGAACTCAGAAGCCGGATTGCTTTTCAACGGGACATTAAGAACTGTAACGTGTTAATTCTCACTGAGACTTGGCTCAACCCCGCTATCCCGGACTCCGCTATTGTCCCTGACGGATTCTCTATTTTTCGTCAGGACCGGACTGCTAACTCGGGGAAAAGTAAGGGAGGCGGTGTGTGTGTAATGACTAACAACAACTGGTGCTCAGATGTGAAGATTATTTCATCGGACTGTTCCGCACAGCTAGAGCACCTCATGATCTCATGTCGGGCCTTCCATCTGCCGAGGGAATTCACATCTGTTGTGATAACAGCAGTGTATATCCCCCGCAGCCACTCGCCGACAACAACACGGCACTCGATCAGCTGTTTGGGTTTATTGATAAAACCGAGACTTCACGGCCAGATGCGGCGTTCGTTGTGGCCGGAGATTTCAACACCGCCAACATGAAGAAGGTTTTGCCAAAATATTACCAACACATCAACTTCCCGACGCGCGGGGGAAACATACTGGACCATGTTTATTCCCCTTTCCGGAATGGATATAAGGCTCTCCCTCGCCCTCCCTTCGGCAAATCAGACCATATCTCACTACTGTTGTTGCCTGCTTACAAGCAGAAACTTAAAAGGGACAGACCGATAACAAGGACAGTACAACGATGGAGCGAGGAGTCAGATTCAGCACTGCAGGATTGCTTTGCATCTACGGATTGGAGTGTGTTTGAGGACAATAACATCAACACACACACGGACACTGTCATCTGCTACATTGGGAAATGCATCGATGACGTGGTACCGAAGGTTTCTGTACGGACATTCCCAAATCAAAAGCCCTGGGTAAACGGTGAGGTGCGCGGCAAACTGAAAGCGCGCACTCTCGCGCACACAGCGGGAGATTTGGAGGAGTACAGGAAGTCTAGGTATGATCTCCGGAGAGCAATAAAAAATGCAAAGAGACAGTACAAAGAGAAGGTGGAATCTGACTTCAAAGGCTGTAACACTAGGAATATGTGGGCGGGACTAAGGACAATGACTGACTACAAAGGAGCAGCGGGGGGTGCTGCGGGAGTGTCTGCGTGCGCATCTCTCCCAGATGAGCTAAACAGTTTTTTTGCACGCTTTGAGAGCAGCCAGGGCTGTGGAGGTGCAGAGGGACCAGGAGCTACACTGCCCTTTTGTTTTAAATAGGGCAGATGTGTGTAAATCCTTTAAAAGGGTTAACCCACACAAGGCTCCTGGACCTGATGGCATCCCTGGCCGTGTTCTCAGGGTGTGTGCAGTTCAGCTGGCAGAGGTGTTCACAGACATCTTCAACAGGTCCCTGCTGCAGTCTGTAGTCCCCACATGTCTTTAAACACTCCACCATCATTCCTGTCCCCAAAAAGACAATCATCACCTGCCCCAACGACTACCGCCCAGTAGCACTCACCTCCATCATAATGAAGTGCTTTGAGCGGTTAGTCAAATCATTCATCACCTCCTCCCTCCCTGACTCTCTGGACCCCCTGCAGTTTGCCTACAGAGCAAACAGGTCCACAGACGACGCCATAGCCCTCACCCTCCACACTGCCCTCTCACACCTGGACCCGAAGAACAGGAACACATATGTGAGAATGCTGTTCATTGACTACAGTTCAGCATTCAACACCATTGTGCCCTCCAAGCTGGCCATCAAGCTCAGAGACCTCGGGCTCAACAGCGCCCTCTGCGACTGGATCCTGAACTTCCTGACGGGCAGACCCCAGGCAGTGCGGGTGGGAAACATCACATCCTCCACCCTGATTCTTAACACCGGTGCCCCTCAAGGCTGCGTGCTCAGCCCTCTCCTCTACTCCCTGTTCACCCACGACTGCGTGGCCACACACAGCTCCAACACCATCGTGAAGTTTGCTGATGACACGACCGTCATCGGCCAGATCACAGACGATGACGAGACGGCGTACAGAGAGGAGGTCGAAAACCTGACATCTTGGTGCCAGGAGAACAACCTCCATCTCAACATCAGCAAAACAAAGGAGCTGATTGTGGATTACAGGAAGCAGCAGGGAGAGGGACACGCCCCCATCGCCATCAATGGGACTACGGTGGAGAGAGTCAAAAGCTTCAGGTTCCTTGGGGTCCACATCACTGAGGACCTGACATGGTCTCTTCACACCACCACCATCACCAAGAAAGCTCGACAGCGGCTCTTCTTCCTCCGCAGGTTGAGGAGGTTCAAAATGGATTCCAGGATACTCTGCAACTTCTACAGGTGCACGATAGAGAGTATCCTCACTGGCAGCATGACGGCCTGGTACGGCAGCTGCACCGACCTCGATCGTAAGGCTTTACAGAGGGTGGTGAAAACTGCACAGCACATCACCAGGACGGAGCTGCCATCCATGGAGGACCTTTACTCCCAGCGGCTCAGGAAGAAATCACTACGGATTATCAAAGACCCCCATCACCCCAGCCACAAACTGTTCTTTCTGTTGCCGTCTGGCAGACGTTACCGCAGCATCCGGGCAAAGACAAGAAGATTCGGAGACAGTTTCTTCCCGCGGGCAGTGAGACTGTTAAAAAATTGAACTGTTGAAACAACTTCAAACATTCAACTGCTACTCAGTAGTATGTATCTAATACCTAATATATATATATCATTCCAATAACTTGTATATAGACTCGTACTGCACTATTCCACATCATAACTTTATTTCATTTTTATAACTATTATTATTTTTGTATTGCTCTTGCTCTTATTGTTATTATGTTGCATTGTTGGAGAAGCCTGTGACATAAGATTTTCAACTGCATAATTACTCTGTAGCTATGTCAGATTGACAATAAAGAACCTTGAACCTTGAACCTTGAACCTTCTTGCTTCCTTTAAGAGTAAAACACCCTGCATGGAACAGCCCGATAACATCATGAAAACGTCATATATATATTTAAACGTACACACACATTTTAAACCTGATGATTCTGCAGCTTCAACAGTTTGAATCTGTGTTTCCTCCTGCTTCATATTCTCTCTGAGTGCCAGCTGATGCCAACACACTCCCTCTGCGCTGTGTGTGTGTGTGTGTGTGTGTGTATGTGTGCTCTAACACAAATTAGCTTCCTCATGAGGCTGCTGGCCTTCATTAGTATGGCAGAGGCGCGGCGCTAACGCTAGGTAGCTCATTGGTATGGCTGCTGAGTGCTGGCAGTGAATCTCCCCTGACTGGCAGCACGCCCAGAAAACACACACACAGACACACAGAGCCACTGCATTGCGCTGAATGAAGGTGTTCTGTGTGTGTGTTTTGCACTAACACACACACACACACACACACACACACACACACACACACACACACACACACACACACACACACACACACACACACACACACACACACACACACACACACACACACACACACACCACACACACACACACACACACACACACACACACACACACACACACACACACACACACACACACACACACACACACACACACACACACACACACACACACACACACACACACACACACACACACACACACACACACACAACACCTTCCTTTTTGTGGAGAACACACCCACAGAGGAGTGTGTGTTCTCACAAGCGATTCTCTTTAAAAATGTGCCAAAGCAAAACGCTACCAGAGAGAGTGAGGAGGAGGAGGGGACTCTTTAAAGTAGAGACACTACATACTGTTATACACCTGAACATCAGCAGGAGAGGACTCTTTAAAGTAGAGACACTACATACTGATATACACCTGAACATCAGCAGGAGAGGACTCTTTAAAGTAGAGACACTACATACTGATATACACCTGAACATCAACAGGAGAGGACTCTTTAAAGTAGAGACACTACATACTGATATACACCTGAACATCAGCAGGAGAGGACTCTTTAAAGTAGAGACACTACATACTGATATACACCTGAACATCAGCAGGAGAGGACTCTTTAAAGTAGAGACACTACATACTGATATACACCTGAACATCAGCAGGAGAGGACTCTTTAAAGTAGAGATACTACATACTGATATACACCTGAACATCAGCAGGAGAGGACTCTTTAAAGTAGAGACACTACATACTGATATACACCTGAACATCAGCAGGAGAGGACTCTTTAAAGTAGAGACACAACATACTGATATACACCTGAACATCAGCAGGAGAGGACTCTTTAAAGTAGAGACACTACATACTGATATACACCTGAACATCAGCAGGAGAGGACTCTTTAAAGTAGAGACACTACATACTGATATACACCTGAACATCAGCAGGAGAGGACTCTTTAAAGTAGAGATACTACATACTGATATACACCTGAACATCAGCAGGAGAGGACTCTTTAAAGTAGAGACACTACATACTGATATACACCTGAACATCAGCAGGAGAGGACTCTTTAAAGTAGAGACACTACATACTGATATACACCTGAACATCAGCAGGAGAGGACTCTTTAAAGTAGAGACACTACATACTGATATACACCTGAACATCAGCAGGAGAGGACTCTTTAAAGTAGAGACACTACATACTGATATACACCTGAACATCAGCAGGAGAGGACTCTTTAAAGTAGAGACACTACATACTGATATACACCTGAACATCAGCAGGAGAGGACTCTTTAAAGTAGAGATACTACATACTGATATACACCTGAACATCAGCAGGAGAGGACTCTTTAAAGTAGAGACACTACATACTGATATACACCTGAACATCAGCAGGAGAGGACTCTTTAAAGTAGAGACACTACACACTGATATACACGTGAACATCAGCAGGAGAGGACTCTTTAAAGTAGAGACACTACATACTGATATACACCTGAACATCAGCAGGAGAGGACTCTTTAAAGTAGAGACACTACATACTGATATACACCTGAACATCAGCAGGAGAGGACTCTTTAAAGTAGAGACACTACATACTGATATACACCTGAACATCAGCAGGAGAGGACTCTTTTAAAGTAGAGACACTACATACTGATATACACCTCAACATCAGCAGGAGAGGACTCTTTAAAGTAGAGACACTACATACTGATATACACCCTGAACATCAGCAGGAGAGGACTCTTTAAAGTAGAGACACTACCATACTGATATACACCTGAACATCAGCAGGAGAGGACTCTTTAAAGTCGAGACACTACATACTGATATACACCTGAACATCAGCAGGAGAGGACTCTGTAAAGGAAGAGCACCTATACACGATATACACCTGAACATCATCAGGACGTCTTAAAGTACCTTCTTCTCGGCACTTCTCTCTCCACAGCAGATTATCTTCAGCTAGGATCCTCCAGTATCTGCAGGTCTGAGCCGCTGCAGTCAGGTCTTTAGGAGCCAGGAAGGTGAGCAACGTACAGGCGCCAACTGCAACACAACACACACACACACACACACACACAGCACACACCACACACACACACACACCCAACCAATACACACAGCACACACACACACACACACACACAGCACACACACACACACACACACACACACACACACACACACACACACACACACACACACACACACACACACACACACACACACACACACACACACACACACACACACACACACACACACACACACACACACACACACACACACACACACACACACACACACACACACACACACACACACACACACACACACACACACACACACACACACACTTAATACAGCAATAAATACATATCATACCTTTTTTCACTTATTTTTGGGGGAATTTTCACATAAATTCAGGCATTTTTATTTAATTATTCCAATTATTTTACATTTGTTTTTAATGAATTTTTCAGATATATTTCCACATATTTTCAGCAATATTCGGGATAGATTTTCAAATTTTCCAGACTGTATTCCCATATTTAACACCATACCTGCATATTCTACACATTATGTAGAAATGCAAGAAGTGGTATTTAAATTGACCCAATTTTTGTATTGATTTTACACTAAAACTCACTTTTGTTGCAGAAAAATCACTCATCAAAAAGCAAAGAAACTATTGACTCCTAACAGATAGTAGCAGAAACAAATGTGTATACTCTACTTCAGTCTATGGGTCTATTTAAATACCTTTCTACATATTTGCTGGTATGAAAAACATCGTGAAAAATATTCTTAAATATGTGAATAAATTCTGGAAAATATGGAAAAATATCCCGAAATTTGTGGAAAAATATCTGAAGAAAATAATTAAAAACTAAATGGAAAATTATCAAATAAAATGTCAGAAAAAAACATTTGTTTGTGAATAAAATATCCCAAAAATCTCAGAAGATATGTGGAGAGTATCTGAAAAAAAAATCAGTATTTGTGTTTTCACCTCTTTGGGCAGAAGGGAGATGAAGTCTCTCTGGAACTGAGGCTCGATCACCTGCATCATGTGCTTCACCTGGCCTGTTTCACACCTGTCAATCAACTCATCCAGAGCCAAGAGACGCTCAGGACCACTCCACGCCTGAGGAAGAGGAGGAGGAGGAAGAGGAGGAGGAGGAAGAGGTTGGACGTCTGTATTTCAAAGTGTGTGAATGAATGTTTTTTTCATCAGTTACATAAGAAGAGCTCGGGGGCAGCTCTACTCTAATCTGTGTTTACGTGCAGCCAGTGGAAGATATTCACACACACACACACACAGCTAATGAACATAGTGTGTGTGTGTGTGTGTGTGTGTGTGTGTGTGTGTGTGTAGCTTCTTCCCACACAACTACACTAGTAGAACAAGTATGTGGTGTTTCCCTGCCACAGTTAAAAATGTATTATTTATTCATATTTTTGCATGTGATTTATTTTCAGGGCTTAATAACTACGTCCAAAATGTAAATCACGATCACAACGTCTTTTTATTCAGAATTGTATGTATTAATTCGTTTTAGTCAAGAAATCCTACAATCCTGCTAATGTTAAAAAATAATGGCTGCACAATGTTGGAAAACATTTGATGTAAAGTAGAGACACTACATACTGATATGAATGTATCGCCTATTCTTAGCCGGTTTGACAAAAGTTAGGAAGCTAGTTAGCATGTTGGGAAGTAACAGCACTACTGGTTGGATTAACTGGTTTCGTAGGATGGGTTTAGCTATCTTAATATACCAAATAAAATGAGCACTAACCTGGAAGATGTGGAGCCAGTCCTGCAGGCCGGAGGGTGGAGGTCCCGAGGTGACGCGCCGCCGCTGAGCTGAAAGCCCATTGGCCAGCCTCAGGTCCCCAAATGTGGTGGGAGTGGTGGCCTGGACCAGAGAGGCCGGACTGGGAAGAGAGGGGCGAAGACGTTAGCATCAGTTAGCATCAGTTAAGCATCAGTTAAGCATCAGTTAAGCATCAGTTAAGCATCAGTTAGCATCAGTTAAGAGAGGGACGAAGACGTTAGCATCAGTTAGCATCAGTTAAGCATCAGTTAAGCATCAGTTAGCATCAGTTAAGCATCAGTTAAGAGAGGGACGAAGAGGTTAGCATCAGTCAGCATCAGTCAGCATCAGTTAAGATTAGTTAGCATCAGTTAAGCATCAGTTAGCGTCAGCTAGAAGCAGTTAGCATCAGTTAGAAGCAGTTAGAAGCAGTTAGCGTCAGCTAGAAGCAGTTAGAAGCAGTTAGAAGCAGTTAGAAGCAGTTAGCGTCAGCTAGAAGCACTTAGCATCAGTTAGAAGCAGTTAGCATCAGTTAGAAGCAGTTAGCATCAGTTAGAAGCAGTTAGAAGCAGTTAGAAGCAGTTAGAAGCAGTTAGAAGCAGTTAGCATCAGTTAGAAGCAGTTAGAAGCAGTTAGAAGCAGTTAGAAGCAGTTAGCATCAGTTAGAAGCAGTTAGCATCAGTTAGAAGCAGTTAGAAGCAGTTAGAAGCAGTTAGCATCAGTTAGAAGCAGTTAGAAGCACTTAGCATCAGTTAGAAGCAGTTAGCATCAGTTAGAAGCAGTTAGAAGCAGTTAGAAGCACTTAGCATCAGTTAGAAGCAGTTAGCATCAGTTAGAAGCAGTTAGCATCAGTTAGAAGCAGTTAGCATCAGTTAGCAACAGTAAACAGTCTGTAGTTCAAACTAGGGCTATATAAATTCCAATATCTCAACAATTTAGGCCAAATAATTAGATATTGGGAAAATATCGTAGGCAATTAGGAAAGCTACGAGCCTGCTAAATTAAAAATGTTTTTAACTTTACTGTAATGCAGCCTTCAAAACACACGATAACGATATATCAGAATATTGAACTCCTTATGACGAAATGTCTTCGAGAAATTGTTTTTTTTTAATCTTTCTAACCTTCAGTTATTTTCTATATCAAAATAACTGATATGTTTTGCTAACATAAAGCTGAATACTGTTACGTAGAGACTACACAACAGCAATACATCTCTTTTTAAATACTTATAAAGCCTTTTTTCTAATGATACAATTAGTTGTTAAGTCTTACGTGTCTAACCCATTACAAAAAAGGTATTTTAATTCTTTAAAAAGCAATGTTTCTGTATCCAAAGAGCAAGTACTTTCACCAACATTAATGTCTTCTCTGTCGGTTTGTTTGAATTACAGTTCAGTTATTTGGTTTTACGGGTTGTTTGTTTATGTAAATAAAAGGTGTTGTTTACCTGAGGTATCCGTTGCCTTTGCAGTGTTTCTTCCCCGAGGAAAAGGGCCGCCCGTCTGGACCGTGATCCAGCTTCCTCTTCATCTGAGAGGGAGAGACAAAAGGTTCAAAAGGTCATCATTCACAGCAGGAGGCCAAAAAGCAGGCATTTGCCCCAGGAATCTTCAACAGGTGGATCCAGTCATTTAGTCCTGGTTTTAAACTGTTATCTAATGGGGCGGCTGTGGCTCAGTAGATAGAGTGCTGGACTTCGAAGCAGGGGGTAGCAAGTTCGAGTCCCACTGCAGTCAGCATGTCGTTGTGTCCCTGAGACACTTCACCCCAAATTGCTCCTGTGGGGGTTGTCCACAGTATTGAATGTATGTAAGTCGCTTTGGATAAAAGCGTCTAACAAATGACATGTAATGTAATGTAATGCATCAAGTGGAGGAAATACAACATTTACTGTAAATATTCGGTGTGTTAGTGTTGTTTAGGATAAATACAGGGTTGTGTGACGGTCTATAAATCACTATAGTGACTTCTGATGTCACTATAGTGCAATTTACTGGCATTTCACTAAGCAATATTCCTCATTTAAACACTATATTAAAGCAGAAATGTTGTAAGGAAGCACGCAGATGATGTTTTGTAAGAGGAAAGTATCTCACTACGTTTCTAAAATGCATCCATTATTTTAATTCATTTACTGTGAAAATTGGTGTAAGGAAATGACAAAATGAAGTTGTTTCTCACTACGTTTCTTCTGCCCGAAATGCATCAATAATACCAGGGGAAATACATTATATATCTGACCAAAACAAATGCATTTCACATGCTCTTTTATGGGGGCTTTCAAACCATAATGAGGCCTAACATGCGAATGAATAACGTTTGAGACCTATGGGTTATAGTCGTGAAGATGGACAAGCAACAGATACTTCAGTTTGATTTGACTCTTTTCATCGTGTCCTGCTGTTTCATACACCACATGTATGCAATGTACACACGGCATATATATATATATATATGTATAAAGGCAACAAAAGTCAAGTGTTAGTATGACAAAAAGATGAGCGTCTGACTTTGTTATTAAAGCCCCAAAAAAACACTCGTGCATGGTCGCACAAATCATCAGGAAACCTTGATTCTGAGACGCATTAGAGGACGTCGAGTGTTGAGGGATCTCATCTGAATGAAGGGATGCAGCGACACTGAAAACACCCACGCTGTCCCTCTCCCTCTCTCCCTCTCTCCCTCTCTCTCCCTCCCTCTCTCTCCCTCCTCTCTCTCTCTCTCTCTCTCCTCTCTCCCTCTCTCTCTTTCTCCTCTCTCCCTCTCTCTCTCCCTCCTCTCTCTCCCCTCTCTCTCTCCCTCTCTCCTCTCTCTCTCCCCTCTCCTCTCCTCTCCTCTCCTCTCCCTCCCTCTCTCTCTCTCCCTCTCTCTCTGTGAATGAACGCAGGAATGCAGAAAATCGCAGGAATGTCACCGGTGCAGCATCGGTCTAAAATAGAGCAGCACACGCTAACACACACACACAGGAGGATGTACAGTACAGTGTGTGTGTGGATGCATCATAACTCGGCATTATCAGCCTCTTCTCAGAGTAAAATACCAGCAATAAACAGTGAATATTTGGGAGTCTGAGGGCAGATGTAACCTCATAATCTGCTTTTCATTTCTGACTTTTAACCCCCACATGTCGCTGTTTTGTTTTTTCATAACAGATGTCCAAGTGGATTTCATTAAGCTTGAAAAAGAAAAACTTCACTTCAGGCTAAAACAGAAATCTGCTTACTGTTAAAATCAAAAGCGCTTTGATGTACGACATGTGTGTTTTAAAGTGAAACCTCTGTGAGACTCCTATAGTGAACTACAGCGGTCACTATAGGGGGACTCTAGTCTGTTCAAAGGTAAATAATGGTGACATTTGTGTACATTTTGAGCATCTGCACACCATTACTGTAATGACTGGGATAACACGTGACCTCATTGTGACCTATGTGTCATTGTTACAGGATTTACTGAGAGATATCCATCTATAATCTGTCATTTCACGGCGGGGGGGGGGGGGAAGCGAGGAATCCCAATTTCTAAGGATTTAATCTTGTCGTTTGTAGCTTTAAAAATGAACAACTATTAGATACTTAAATAATGTCTGATTTCAAGTCTGTAACAGAGATTTTATGCTATATTTGACCAAAAAAAGACAATTTACAGGAGGTGTACAGTGTGTTATATCGCTTTTACTTGTGTTTTCATAATTTATTGAGACATAAATGGAGATTAATAAGGTTTTAGTCCAATGGTTTCTAGCAGTGAACACGAACAAGCATTAGATACTCAAATATTGTCAGGTTTTTAAAGAAATCTCAAGATTTACACCAATATTTGACCCAAAAATGTTTTTTGTAATGATCTGAACAGTGAATTATACCTCTTTTACTTGTGTTTTTATAGTATAATGAGACAGGAAATGCTAATTATTATGGTTTAAATCTTGTATTTTGTAGCGATGAAGATCTACAAGTGATTGATAATAAAGTTTGGCCGGATTTTACAATTATTTCAGACATTTCTTACTGTTTTAGGCCCAAAAAAATGAAATGTACACTAATATTATTCATTTTATGCACTATATTAAAGCAGCAATGGTGTCTGATTATCTGATTTCAAGATGTTATACTATATTTCTTTCTGTTCCTTGCAGTTCACAGCAGCTGTACAATATGTTACCTCTTTATTAGGGTGGTAACAATGTTGATTTCAAAGGATTAATAAGCATTAGATCCTCATGTGTTCCTTATATGTACATATTACCTTTTAACCACATGTATTTGCTGCTTTAATACACTAGATTTTACCTCAATAATGCGATTCACAGCCGTTTTGTCAGACTACACACTATGCCATTTACACACTAAAGCAAAAACGGTTAAAGGACACTGAGCAGAAATGAATAAATGCACAAGATAGGCATTCAAGCTTCATTCTGAGACGCGTTAAAGGACGTGTTGAGGGTTAATGAAGACATGCAGATAACGTGTGTTTCTGCCGGTTCCGCAGTGGTCCACACACACACGCACACACGTACACACACACCGACACACACAGAAACGCCTCGTCATCCCGGTGCTGCACAAGCCGCCTGACAACCTTCATTTCCCGCATGAAGCCCTCCGGTAAAAACACCGATATACTCACTTTGTAGAAGATGAGCTTCAGGGTGCCGTAGAAACCCATGGTGATCTACAACCTCCGAGGGAAAACACCCGTTAAAATATATACTAAAAATATATATATATATATATTTATAGAGAGAGATTAAATCCGCGGGATCCAGACAGGAGGAGAATTAAAAACTGCGTGACGTCAAAAATCCATGATCTGAGAGGGATCGATCAGAGAGAAAGAGTCCGAGCTGCGGCTGCTTCAGGACCGACAGGAACACGCAGAGACATGCCTAGTGAGGGGGGGGGGGAGGAGCCGGGGGGAGTGTGTGTGTGTGTGTGTGTGTGTGTGTGTGTGTGTGTGTGTGAGAGAGAGAGAGAGCAGCAGATTCTCTTTAGAATTCTCAGGGAAATCAAATGGATCCAATTTTCGAACGTTTGCAGTTCAAGGTAAAAAATGATGATAACATACAATACAATTACAACAATTTAAAAAAAATCAACCAACGAGCAAGGCACTGTGGAAGGTCTGAATCCCTGTTAGACTGCTGTAAAGTTTAAAATCCTTACAGATATACTATTATTTATATATCTGAATCAGAAACAGGTTTATCTCCAGGTAGAATAACACGTAGGAGGAATTTGACCTGGTGTTGTGGTGCATACATACAAGTAAACACAGATGTGGGTGTGCGTGCGTGCCTGTGTCTGTGTGTGTGTGTGTGTGTGTGTGTGTGTGTGTGTGCGTGTGTGTCTGTGTGTGTGTGCGTGTGTGCGTGTGTGTGCGTGTCTGTGTGTGTGTGTGTGTGCGTGCGTGTGCGTGTGCGTGTGTGTGTGTGCGTGTCTGTGTGTGTGTGTGCGTGCGTGTGCGTGTGCGTGTGTGTGTGTGTGTGTGTATATATAATAATATATCAGAATCAGCAGGTTTATTGCCAGGTGGGTTAACACATACGAGGAATTTGACTTGGTGTTGTGGCGCTTGTGTGAATCCTGTTTTTCACTCCGACCGTCGCTGCTAAAAACGCCTGATTCCCCACGGGGATAAATACAAGTTCTTATGTTACCAGCGGAGGCTCAGACACACTGAGATCAATAATCAATAATCCAATCTTACAGAGAGGGAGGGACGTTAACGAGTCTTTCTGAAAATGTATTTAATTTATGAACGTTCCGATATCTAGAGCGTCATTACCCGCCAAAAAGCAGCTGATACCTGAACATATAAAAAATTAAAATATCAAATAATTTAAACTGTATGTTAACATTCATTTCTAAACATTGTTATTATTATTTAAAGGGGACCTATCATGCAAAATGCACTTTTGTACGTCTTTTCTACATGAATATGTGTCCCCGGTGTTCCAGGGAACTCACCAAGTGTCAGAAAACACAACCCTCTCTATTTTCCTCCATACCCAAATCTCTAAAAAAGGGGCTGCAACGGATCTGATAAAAACTGATCCAGATTTGAACACTGTCCTGACGTCAGGACGGTGGCGCTACGGCTATTGGGCCAACTCCACCAATCAGGAGGAGACAACCACGGCATTGCCGTTCGAAAGCGCTGGAGACGCTGTAGTACATATGCCAGGCCTGTAGGTGGTGCTGTTCTCACAGAATCTACCCTTGCAAAAACAGAGCTAAAAAAGGTCAAATTGAGCAAAATGAGGCATGGCTAAAATGCATGATCTGTTTGGTATTTTGAAAAGAAAAAAGTCTAAATATGCCTTATATAGATATGGTCCTACACTATATTATTATAATATAGCATGATAGGTCCACTTTAAATGAACAAGGACCGTGCAAATATATCAAATACTCTCACAAAGAGAACATTTATGCCAGATTGAGCTATAAACATTACGTAGTCTCTGTCACGCTAACAATAGTAAAACAAATCTTTAATGATTTAATTTATTTTTTATTTGAAACGGA